TGACGTGACGGGACTTCAGGATATTTATATTTTGGACTGTATAAATATGATGATGACTTACGCTTCCGCTTATCATATTTTGATGACTTGTGACGATATTTTTGATGACTTTTTGACGTACTCGTTTGACGAATTTATCTTTTGACAAACTTTTAAGAAACTCATGATTTCAGTAACCGGACGTTTTTATAAGTTAAGTCATGATTTTTTAAAGGTAGCACCCCGAATCAGTTTTCGCAAAGTAAAAAGGTTTTTTAACTTTGCGAAATTTGCGCTACTCTGATTTTACGATAAGGAGGGGTGTTACACGAATCTTTTGATTCGGTACTCGGTAAAATGAATAATTTGTGCTACAACAAATTTGGCGCCGTTGCTGGGGAAGGCAAGTAGGATATTTGGTCTTGCTATTGATTTTATTTTCTGTGTTTCTCTTTATTTTTACATTTTTAATGTTTTTGTTCTTTCTCTACATTTTTGTTTTTCTATTTTGTGTCTTTTTCTTCTTCTCTTTTTCGTTTCTACGTTGGGTTGTTTTGTTCTGTTGTGCAGGGATATGAATTTCAATCACGAGTATTCCTCCCCGCACTACCCCTCTTGGAACAGTGAGCTGAGTTATTGTGTCGGGTACTACACCCAATCGCACCCATACTATTCGAAGCAGTGCTGGAACCAATTTCCGGTCGGGCAGACGCATGAGTCCAATAAGTTTAACGAGAAGCTCGACCAGATTCTTGAATTTATAGAATCCAAAGCAGCTCGTGAAAAAGAGGCCGCCTACAATAAAAACTTGATCGGGCTCTCGCTCTTTTGCAATCTCAGGCAGCCCGTAGGAGCAATCTTGAGGGCGAGGTTGCAAACTTAGTGGAGCATATTCAAGTTATAGTGGACCGAGTTTTCTCTCCTGAGTCCATCATGCAAGACGAGTTTACATATACGGGTGGACTCCGAGAGGATACCTTGATGAGAGATGAAAAACTCGACCTCATCCTTGCTCGTGTGGCGGCCCAAGCAACTCGACTAGAAGAGATTGAGGGTGGATGTATCCGATTGGTGGACCAGCTCGATGGAATAATGGATCACATGCAATCCGTCAAGCCACGAGTCAATGAGACCTTGAGCATTAACTATCAGATTTATAAGGACGAGATGCAAGAAGAAGAGGATGTGCTTCCAGCAGATGAGGGTTATATTTTGATGGAGGTAACTTCTGAGCCCGAATTCGAGAGTCCCTCACTTGAGCCGTCATGCACCGTCGAGAAGGCCCCAGTGGTCCTGATATGCTCCACAGATGTTCTTATCCTTCCATTGGTTAACAATGGAGTTTCGGTGAAGAGAGATCTAGGCCACTTCGTTACCCCACCTAGCTCCCATGCTCAGTTCCATAAGAATATTGCTACCCGAGCCACCCGTGCCTGCCTTCTGGCCTTAGTGCCAGCACTGCCACTTCTCGAGAATACAAAGGTGTGGCACGATCGTCACTTCTTTCTAGATTCCAGTTGAGTTCCCCTCAGGTTTCGTCAAGCTAATGACGTTAAACAAGCGCTTCTTGGGAGGCAACCCAAGGAATTTACTGCTTTCGTAGGATATTTTTTTCATTGTGCCTTTTATTTTATCTTTTTAATAATTGGAGTTTGGAGTTCTTTTGTGTCCATCTTGGCAGGTACTGATTGCAAGATCGAGCAAGAGAATATCGAGGTTCTGGGCTGAGCATAGGCGAGCGGCTTGTACGTGGATGCTTATCCTCCTCGAGGCACTTCGGTTTGCACACCCTTTTCTTTTCTTTTTTATCTTTCTTGAGCTATTCTTTCCCTTGTCTTTTCTTTTGTGTTCTAGTAGTAGTTGGTGGAATTGGTTCATTATATGAGATTGCTGGGTCCTTTTATGTGACTTCTTGTTTTGTGTTGAAGCAATGAGGTCATTGCCTCATTTAAAGTGTGGGGGAGTTTATTTGGATTTTGCATGCTTATGTGGTGGACCGGACTAGTTTTAGGATTTTGTGTTGTTGAGCATGTGATATTGGTGAATTATATGAATTGTTGATGAATGTTTGATGAGATTGGGAAGTTGTGATGACAGACGTGTGGTCATTGCCTCAGTATTTGCTTGATTTCTTTGAGTGACAATTATTTACCTTGTGAGGTTTTGATCCTTATTCTGTTTCTTGTGAGATGTTGGTCATATTCATGAATGATTAGAACTTGCCTTGAGTTTATCTAAAAGAAATCGATTAGAGTTTGAAATTTTGAAAGTGATTGAGGCGTTTTGTTTGGTTAGCTCTTTTTAGCCTTTTTCTAAACATTATTTTTCCTAGTAGCCCGTTTGAGCTTTGAGCCTTTTTCTTGTCAGCCATACACGAATGTATTTTGTTTACTGATTTGGTGATGATTGGTGAAAATGGTGGTGTTGTTGAATGAGGTGAATTAAAGTTGGATTTCTATTGCTTGACCTATTAAAAAAAAAAGAAAAAAGGAAAAAAAAAAAGAAAAAAAATGAGAGCTCGCAGGACGAATCGATTGGATTCTGCTCCTCTTACTAGTCGATTCGTGTTGACGGGTAATGAGCATTGGGAAACTACTGTAGGACACTTGGATGACCTCCAATGTTTACACCTACAAAATGTTGTCCTTTCGATTCGTTTTTGTTCGGAAAAAGTCACTCTTCAAATAAAAAAAAAAGAAAAGAAAAAGAGAAAAAAATAATAAGGTTAAGTGACGATGTTGCAACTTACTCTGCGCATTTATGTGTTGTTTGTGGAATGTTGGTGGACGGTATGTGTGCTTGTTGGTTTGGATGAGTAGTTGACATTCGAGTAGTCTATTACTCGAAAAACTTGGATTGATTATTTGAGCTTCATATCCATATATATTCGTACCTTTACCTTAGCCCACATTACAACCCGTGAAGTCCTCTTGATTCGCAAGTTTTTGAGCTTTGATTGTTTTCGAGTAATTTAAACGATTGGCAAGCATATGTTGAAACTTGAATATTGACCAATTTTGAGTGTTCCTATCACTTAATCATGCAAGAAAATGAGTGAGGCATACATGACAATCTATGTTTTGAGAGTTTGTCATTTCATGGCCAAGTCGATATTTGAGGCATATGGTCGTATGTTTGTTGGAATTCGACTCGATTGAATTGGGCATTAAGCTCTTATTATTTGAAACCGTATCCATGCTCGTGTCTTGTTTTGTTTTCTTTTTGTTCGGGACGAACAAAGGATTAAGTGTGGGGGAGTTGTTTGTCCCATTTTTATTGCGTTTTTTGTTGTCTCGTTGTCTTTCTTTTTCCCTCATATTGAGTCTTTTTGTTGGGTTATTCGTTTTTGTAGTTTATTTCTTGATTTGATCTATTTCGGTTTTTCTTGTGTTTTCGTGTGTTTTTCTGGTTTTTTTCTTTGTTTATGGTGTGTAGGTTTGAAGCTTCGGGAGGACTTAATTATGGGCAAAAGCTTATTGTGCAAGCATAATTAAATAGAGGAGTTCGTTGGCAACACACAGGAAAAAGCGAAATCGAATTCTGAGTCCAAACGAGCCCGAACGAGCCCAAAACGTGAAATCGTGCAAGGCTGCCGGGCCATAGCGCCGCTATGGCCAACCCAGCTAGCGGCGCTACCAGCGAAGCGCACCCATAGCGACGGCTAGACGCCCAAGCCCCGCGACCCATAGCGCTTCTATGGCCTTAGCACCGCTATGGCCTGGTCGCGGGCGCAGAATTGTTTTTTTTCGTTCTCTCTCGTTTTTGCTCGATTTTTCAAACCATATAAAGGAGAACTTGT